GCCAGTCAGTCAGTCAGTCAGTCAGTAGCTGGGCTAGCGATGATAAAAGAAAAAAAGGTCAAGACAAAAAAATCCGCCTCAGCCTAAAAGTTTTGATCTGTAATGAAGAAAACTTATGAGTCCTCCTAAGTCGACCTCGACCTCGACCATACATGTTCTGGGTATTCTTGTCCTTCCTTGCCCAAATTTTTCCCATCCCATCCCATCCTTGAAATCTCATTACCAATGTGACATGTCTGTCTGTCTGCCTGTCTAACCAAGACTTTATATCCTGTCTCATGCCCTGAACTCCCGCTAAATCACAAGTGTGAGAAGTCAAACCCGTCCCGTCCCGTCCCGCCCTATCCTTTCCCAATTCATTTATCCGCTATTATCTTCCCTATCTCTCGTTTCCCTATGCTCTACTATGGGCAATTCACCACTGCATTTCCTCCCACTAGGGCTAATCTTTCGAACTAGAATAGACACCCTACGACTTAATCTTCGAAGAGCGCCATCCGATCTCTCGGCTGAATTATCCCTTATTTCCTGTCCATCTTCTTCACTTCCTCCATTGCCGTTCCAAAACCGTCCACCCATTCTCATAGCTTTCGGATCAACCTGATGTCGTACGCCCTTGCCCCCAAAATTTAAATACACAGGATATAATAACCCTACCAAAAATAACACAAAAATAATTACAAAAGAATATTGTACAGTGTGAATTTTCTGCACACCAAAAGTAACAAATACAAATACACTTCCACCAGTCGCCGACGCCACAATCCATGCTGATGCCCACTTTGTATCCTTTCCCATACCGCGAATGGTCAATGAAAAGACTAGTGGGAAAATGGGTCCTTCGAAAAAGAACACTAAGAGAGAGGATGCAGCAAGGAAAGACGGTGACATGTCATTGATGGGGAAGATGAAAGCCGAGAATAAGGTAAGAAATGAGAAGCACATGAGTAAGAGAATTCGTGGTGGAAACATCAAACAAAGTGGTGCAAAGGCGAAACGTCCAATGGCAAAAAGTCCATGTCCTAATAGGAGATAATCTTCATCATCATCTAATGTGAAGACGGATTTGAAACTCGTAGAACTAGGAACATAGGAAATTAATAATGGCTTGAAGAATTCCGATACGCATTCTTGTGCAGCAACGTAGCAGAGTTGCGATATAACACCAAAGACCAGTGTCGTATAAATGATCGATGTGCCGGTCCAGGGTAACTTCCTTGTTGGATATATTTCCAGAAGATCTGATTGTGCTTGAAGGTCCTCATCGCTGGCTTCGGGTAGAGGCATATAATAAAAAAAGAGAGCGAGAATGACGGTGAAAAGAGCAATGGCGAGATAGGTCCATTGAACATCAATCAAAGTTAAATGCTTTTCATTCTCAATTCGAACTCCTCTAAAAAGGACCTTCTCCGCCAGAACTTGACTAACAAGTGATGCGACAGCTTGTATGCTCTGGGCAAGCATTAATCTGAATTCAGCATATTGAGTCGGACCACATAAAGCCAGGAATGGATTTGCGGCAGTTTCTAAAATGGATAAACCAAATCCAACCACTACGCTGGAGAGGATGAATCCAGTAAATGATGTTAAAACTGCCGAAGGCCAGAACATCAATGTTCCAGTCCCGTAAATACAAAGTCCCGAAATAAATGTAGCTTTGAACCCACTATGTCTCAAAACCCATTGCCCCACTGTTAGGGCCCCGATTACGTATCCTCCAAAATATGCAGCAGATAATCCTATGGTTTCGCTCTCTGAGTAGTTGGCTAGTATTGCAATTTCGTCATTTAATCTATTGAGTAATCCGTACGAGAAACCCCAAAGGAAGAAGAGAATCGTCACCATGATGCAATATTTGAGAGCTTCCTTTCCACGCGTCTTCATCATCGTCTTGGGAACTCTCATATTGACAAATCCAAAGTAAGTGGTATTGGTTGTACGTGCTGTAGAATTTCGTCGCAAAGTTTGCAAGCCGAAACCTGTAGGAGCTGTTAAAAATTCTGCCATGCTGAGTTCTTCCTCTTCCATATCTTCTCGATGCCCCCCAGGATGAGTATCTGATAATGGCGAAGGGGAAGCATCGGACACCAGGGGAAACGGAGTGGTTGTTGATGGTGGCATATTGTTTACAGTATCTAATTGAACATCGCCGCCATTTTGAGGACTCATCGACCCGGATTTCTCTGTTGTATGGGTGCGTGAACCTCTTCTCCCGGATGCTCGGTCCAAAATCATCGCTGGTAATATTCGTTTGACGAGTGGCTTTAGAGTAGGAATACAAGCACACACAATTCCAATGTTAACTTCGACGGCGGACCACATAAATGATAGTGAAGCATTGTAGGCAAAATCAGCTCCGGCGCCCAGCTTCGAGTGAACCAAAACCGATGTTAAAAAGTTGTTCGAGGCTTGCTGTAAATAATATATCCTCACACATCGACAATTGCAACGAAAATTCCCAAGGAGAATGTAAATACCAGGTATCGCTTTTTGTCTTTGCGGGAGGAACATTCCAGTGAGAACAGGGATTGGTAGAACCAATATGGCTAAGTCTGTAATGATATTCACAGGAGCTGATGCTAGATAGATGGTGATGATTGAAAGACATTTCCCATCCCCGCCTGTCCTCCACGCAGCATAAACAGGTCTACACTGAAATGCATTGACAAAGGTCAGGACTATACCATCCAGACAGACAACGGCAAGCGTGATTCCTGAAGCCCATCTCAATAGTTTTTGGGTATCTTTACTCATGCGAAGGTAGAAGATGAGAATTGAAGTTTTGGTCGCCATCAAACATGGGTTCTGCAATAAAAGTTAGAGATTGCGCGCCTTATCAATCGTTAAGATCCACCACTTACATAAAGTACCGTGAATGCATATTCCGCTTTCTTCAAGCCAGGACGCCATTCGTCCTTGATATCACCATCAAACCTTCCCAAGCCTTTAGTTGTTGCATAATCAATTGAGAAGGTTAAACCAAATGCAAAAAACTTTGGAACCACAAATGTTAGCAAGCCGTTTTGTCGATATGTTCCTTTACTCGATAGAAAAAAGTCTTATCTCACCCACGACACTATGATAAACCAATCATCCCAACTTCTCGATTTCAAAATTCCAAATCGACTCACCAACCTCGCCACCACAAATATACTCGCAAGGATAAAGGTAATAGTAGTGACCCAAAAAACCACCCCACTGCGCGATTGTAAAGAATCTATCGACGTCGACATTGTATAAATATTCTGCCTCAAATTCGTTCGTCTCGACTTTTGACTTTCAAGTCATATTTCGCTCCTAGGTCAAATGTAATGATTTCCGTATATCCATTCTCGGATGTACCAGTATAATGTCGAAGTACAACTTTTCCGATCGGTGAAAGTTGCGCCCAATTGTATCCCCAGCGAGGCAAGCAAACACGATTTGTGCTATATCTCCCTTCCCTCGATCCAATCCTTTCTTTCAATTCAACTCGCTGATTCGTATTCGCCAATGTACCGAATTTTCGAATTACTTTTCGTGCATGCCAACCGGCTTTTCCAGATCAAATATGGCGCAAATGGTCCTACACTACAATCGTTATGAGGATGTCGAAGGACGAGTAGTAATAGTTCTTCTCTTGTCGTATTAATTCTTCCGTGGAGGTATTGGTCGAAGTTGATTCGATATGATGATAGAGCGGTGGAAAGTCTGGACATCAGATCAAACAGGTGGATAGACGTTCAAAAGCCCTGCCCTGCGATTCCTTTTTTCCGGGTCCCGATTCTCCATCACACGCTTGTGGCAGTAGCTCGAGGAGGCCGTTTACCCCGGCATTTCCCTCATCAAGATTTGGGATTAGACTTATTTGCGGATTGGCAGACTAAAAAGTTTTGAATTCAACCAATGCAGGGCAAGACCTTGGATAGATTAACCCCAGTAGTTCGGGATGCCATGGCTGACCGCTTGACATTGGGGCGAGTTGTGCTTTTGAAAATAATAATGGAGATATGAAATTTTTGTTAAAGCTTTCTTACCTGCACGATCTCACAGATGATCTTCAATGAAAACTCGTAAAACTTACACGCATACGTAGGTAGTAGTAGGTATTAAGTTTAGGTATTAGGTTTTATGACTAGACAAATGAAAAAAAACAAACAAACAAACAGCATCACTGAATAATAGGATATGTATCAAGCAAACCTTATTTGTGCTTAGTTTATGATAGATGTGGTTATCATTCCCAATTCGTTTGGGGAGTAAAACAACATTTTGGGTATGAAGTCTTGAATCGTGGGAAGTTGGCAGGTGATGAGATTTTCAAGGGAATGACGGTTGAAATGTGAGATTTTTGTGAGGGAAGTGACGTAAATTACTAATAAATTTCAATCCCTCGGTTAATTTGGTTAGATAACCCCTTTAAGAATAGTTATATGGTTTATGCATCACTTGCTGCTTTTCGGCTTCTTCCATTTGTTTACTGTTTTGCCCCGGTCATCCATCTATTTATTTATTTGCCTTCTCCGAAGATTCTGTGTACTTTGAAATGTATTACCCTTTATCACCGATTTTTGTTTGCGGAAAATTATTGAAATAATGAAAAATTTTTACATGGTAGACTTAAAGATCAGGAACTAATAAGAAAATCAGGGATCATTACATGATTATTTTGATCAACTGTGAGATCTTTTCATGAAGCCGACCCAAACTTCAAATTGATAAAATTTGTTCCTGAATCTTGAATGCCAAGAAGATTTGATGTAAGCACTCAACGCCATTCTAGGCATTCCCAGGTTTAGATCGCCCTTCTTTAACTGATTGGTATACGATATCAATATCATTCATCAATATTAATCCATTTTCATCTAATGTTTTTAAACGAACTTACAATTTGAGACGACAGCACTGCCCCATATGATTTGGGGTAAGTATCGCTAGGCATACCTAGACACCCTCAAAAACTCTAAAAGCATCGAGAGTAAGCATGGCTTTATCTCCTGTCATGGTATCGCACGCCACTTCATATATCATCTCGTCGGGTATCTTAGATCTACCCAAGACACCCCCTATGTGTCGTTTACCGAGCTCACAAAAATCACGGATATTTGATGAAATGTTCCCTCCTTCAAAACGAATCATGACTCAAAGGTAGGTAGGTAGATCAGGCATTTAGTGACTCAGTTTTCGACATCAAACCCTGATCATTCGAACTGGAATTTTGCAATAAAGTCTATGTGGAAGTTGCCAAATGAGAAGTCCTTGTAAGCAAAAGCATTAAAACTCTAATTCCAATTAGACTTAACCTGTCAGTTTCAATCCTCCATGCACTTCACTCAATCGCAGCTCCCGCAACTCAAAAATTTCTAATCTATACTACCATATTTCGTGCTTCCGCTCGGTGCCGACGTTCATTTGAGCTGTGTCCGCCCCACTCTAGCTATAGGGATTCATCAGTGAGAGCGAAATACTCCTACTATCCTAACTAATTAAAGTACCAGGTCATGTACTCTTCCCCCGCTGCCCTGCCCTGCCCTCAAACTCTAACTTCGGTGTCCACCGAACCCGTTCCATCCCCCATTAACGCTTGCAACGCGGGGTAAACCCTCCAAGAAAGGGTCCCTCCGCTTCCTCTAACGTGCGTGCTTCCACCCAGTGCCCACCAAATCCCCTTACCAAGCAGAGAACCGTGACATCAACTCCATCGGTCCGATTCCCACCCTTTCTTCAAAATCGCTCAATTTCTCAGCACGTGCTTATCCGCACCCTAAGGTGCCCCAGCATTTTAATTTACAGACCCCCATTGTGTGTGGGGGACGGCAAGACACATCAACGGTGCCCAGTGTGCAATGTGCAGCGTGCAGCTAAGTGCCAAACGTGTAGATTAACTCGTATATGCAGTTGGGTGGACAATCTGCAAGGCATGGCAACCGTTTATCAGAAGTGGGATGAGTGAGTTTGATGGATAGCGGGACAATGTGGTTTTCCAAGCTTGCACAATTCGAGGCTGACGATGAGGCTCTTGACATTATTATGTCCGGAAAGTGCGAGAAGAATTGTGGAGTGAATCACTTACAACGGAGTTTGCTATTCTATTATTGAATAAGGACTGCTGGATGTGGTAGAATAACATAGCTCGATGTCTCATGTAATAAGTTAAGGTGACAATGGATAAGTTTGAAATTTTTTTAATCCTGCTATGCGTTCCATGGGTGAACTCAATGATTGAAGCTGTGTACCTGACCAGGACGACAGTAACCTTGTTTCGATGCGTTCGAGAAAGGGTAATAATACAGGCTCTCGAAGTCAAAACGCCACAAAAGGACAAAGCCCATGCTCGTCGAGCAGGAATATATACATTAAACGTCGCTTTCACACCTTTAGTAGGTGGCGATCATGGACCTCCCCTATCGCTCACTAATCACAAAAATCTCCCATCGTTAGACCTCCTCATTCATAATTTAACGTGAATCCAAAAACTCCCCGTCCTTTTCCCCTATTGTACCTATTTTATTTTTCATATGTCCCCCAATGGTACTGTGCCTATCCGTACGTAACCCATCCCGACTCCAGCTTCTGTATGCACATTCGCGATGCAATCCCCTTAAAAGCCGGTCCATCCTCTGATTTCTGCGGCCGGTCGTTCTCCACCACCTTTGTGAATATCTTGTAGTCCTTTCTTTTGTCTCTGTCTTGTCTGTGCAAATTCATTTTCGTCCTTTCTTCCACACTCTTGATGATTCTGTGTTAGCTTACTCCGATACCGGAAGAAGAAATCCGAAGAAATTTGACAAAGTATCAATTTGTTCGCCATATGAACCTATTCCGTTCATGTCTTTAAAGAAACTGTCCTTGTACTTATGTATGTACCAAGTTTACTTTTTCAACCTTGGCCGCCACCCAAAAAGAAGTCTAGATCACTTGGCCCGCCTCTCTGTTGTTCATTTTCCGCAAGTTGTTCCAGCAAGGTAAGGAAAGGATCTTTCTCTTCGCCACTCGTTCCTGTACTTCCATTGTTTGACCTTCCTCCCGGTGTCATACCTTCCTCTCCCATCATACCACCATTCGTTCCACCCATTCCTCCAAACGAAAAGTTTCCGCCACCCCCTAGATGTGGCATTCCAAACATTGGCTCAAAATTTGATTCTTGGCCGTGATTTAAGGAAAGAGATGGTGAGAAATTATATGATTGTGGTTGATTCTGGCTCGGTGGCGAAAAGGGTATTTGTGAAAGTGTGGGAATCGAACTTCTGTCATTGGAATAAGACGCGGTATCATGACCAAGTAAGCCGTTTTGTGGTAGAGGTAATTGTTCAACCGATCTTCCATTTGGACCATTCGGCGACATTAAAGGTCTGTCCTTCAGACTATTAGTCAGAGCACGTTTTCGTGCAGATGATGGAGATTTGCGTTTCACAGCAACGGCACCCGAATCGTTTGAACCGTTGGAACCCGCTCTCGCACTCATCGAACCATTCCTGTTTGCTCGTGTCGGCGCGTAAAGGTCATGCCCTTGATATGCTTCAGGGCTAGGCGCCACTACATCCGAAAAGCTAATGTGTGCCCCATCAAAGTACTGTCCCAAGTCACTATACCTATCAAAAAAGTCTTCCAGATGGAATACTGGACTAAAGCGCATTGGATTGCTTCCAAGACTCTTCACCAACTCAGAGTGACAACCATATATCGTTTGTAGGGTTTCTCGTTGATGCTGAACTGAGGACCATGCGTATCGAAGCTCAGAAAGTTGTTGCATTTCCCGGGAGAGAAAATCAGCTGAGGCGGAAAAGACTTCGCCTTCGCGGGCCCCCTTGTAGTGAGTCCCATGGACATGAACGGTGGCGGCAGTACAAATACAATATCCGACAAAATCCGGCCATTCTATAGATGCGGATTGTTTTCCGAGCTCAACCAGTTCGGCAATCGCGTTTGCGTGGAGGAAACAAAGATTTGTGGCTTCAATTTGCCAAGACTGATGTTGCCCGGTTCCAGCTAGCTCGGCAAGGTCGATAGGAAGGAAAGGACGATATATTAGGCAATGTATTAGATGATAAATAAGTTTACTAAGGACAAGGGTCGTGCTATCCGGTTGTCCAAAAAGTGTATCGACAGATGTAAAGACATCCTGAGTGCCACCAGCCCATATATCCAAGTCTTGGCGAATCTTTGAAAGGTTCGATAATGAATGCCATGGGAAGTGGGAGTCGCCTGTTTTCACAACACGACAATTAGTATTCATATAATGAATAGTTGATGAACTTGGGTGATAATTGCAAAACCTGCCTTTTACACCGCCAGCAGCAAGATAGCGATTAGTAATTCCTAATATCCTCACAATATCTATGAGCATTCCACTGCTTCCTTGACTCTTCTTTCCACTGCCGAAATGAAGGTTTGATCCACTTTGGAAGAACTCCCCTTGGACGGCAAGAGTGGCTGAATTGGGCGACCATGAGGGTAATCGTAACAAAATTGATTTATCACCAATTAATGAAGGTCGTTTTGATCCGCATGCTGTAAATCTATCCATCAAATAACAAGTCCAGAATAGCCTTCTTCGTAACTCTCTCTCCACAGGACTAATTCGTAACGTTTGATCCAGCTCGCGGTGGAGCTCTAGCGCGACAGCCATTCCAATAGCATTCGCTATTTATGGTCAGCGAAGCATCCAGTGCTTAGGGGAGGTTAGAGGCACATACCGAACATCATGTATGCCTTTTTCCCTCTTCCAGATGCAGTATACGAGATAGCAAGAAGTAGGAGAGCTTGCAAAGTATCGATGGATGGTTCATCAATGTCTACCTCTGTTCTTGCTCGATGGGCATAATCTTCACTTAATCTCACTGCAGCAAAATAGCCATTTGGATGAGAAGTATATCTTGAGAATAGTTAGCAATTGGAACATCTATATCGATACTTCCAACAAACCTTGCACTAACAGCATAAATTGCATAGAGTAGATACGTGGGAATTTCATTGGCTTGAATTCGTTGTCTGATAGAAGTCTCGTCAAGTATATGGTAGGATTTGCCATGACATCGAACGAAGTAAGTATCCAAAAGGACATCTTGCTGCACTGATGGAGAGGGTGCGCTGGGGATGTGTCAATATAAAAAGAAAATTGTAGATAAGGATATAAGTGACATACCTTATGGATGTTGGGGAGTATACAGCCGATTCATCAGCAATATTCGATGCGGGTGTTTCTAGATGAGGACGTTTTTGTTTTACATCATCCTTCGGACTTTCCTCTTCGCCCCCACCAGAACCACTTCCGTCATTGTTTGGAGAGTTGGATTTTTTCTCATCTCTCAACTTTCTTTCTAATCCATCTACTCTCTTCAATAAAGCTTCCAATACATCCGTTTTAGGTCCACGCTTCTTGGGGACAGCATCTATTGAGAAGGAATTAGGTCCAAATGATTCAAGTTTACGGAATGATATACCCCACCATAAATACAAGGGCATTGGAAGACTTGACAAGCTTCGCAAGTCGGTCGCAACCGATTGCACTTTATCTGCAGAGACTTTTAGTATATCGAAAGAATTATGCGGAAAACAAAGTAGAGCTAACCTTCCTCTTTCTACAGGATTTACAATTCATTGATTCTCGTGGTTCGTTGCTCATACGTCGTGCGGGTAATCGTTCAATTCCAACTTGTGCTGGCCTTCCAGACATGGTATCGAAATGGAATTCGCAGGCGAAGGAAACGTCAAAGAAGAAATTATTGTTGTACAGTAATTAGATTTGTCCCATCATAAAGATTGGTCGAGGCGCAATCCACAAATCATTACGAGTGTGTGTGGTTGTTTTTGTTTTGTGTGCCCCAAATAATCTCCGATACAAATGTACGTATGTACGTATGGATGCGTGGATGTATGTAGTAAGTACCCTTTTCAGAATTGGCTGGGTAGCTTATTCGACAGACCCTCGGGTTGATGGAGCTTTTCCAAAGAAATGGTAACTGTTATTCGTTCGCCAATCACAGGTGTAGTCCAATCACAGAGATCTCCGGATGCTCCTTGACCGCACCACTGCCCCCAGGTTATACTCCAGACTATTTCGTTGATTAAATGATAAGTTGACCGTTGATGGTTGATCGTGAAACGTTGACAATGATGTGAGATGGCGCTGGATTCTATGAAATAGCTTTCAAGTCTCACGGCGATGGAAAAGAAATGTAGAATTGCAGTAGACGTGGCGTTCGTGGTAATTCGTAACGTAAAGAATGGCCGGGATTAGAAGTATGTGAGGTGATTGGTATCGGTGAGTGGTGAGTAAGAAGACAGAGCTCAGAGGGAGGGTTGAGTGTTGGATGTTAAGGGTTAAGAACAGCAGCCATGCCACACCCCTGTCGCAAAGAGGAAGAGGAAGATGGGGGTGTGATCACTTACTAAGTCATTAAGTTACTATCGAAGCTGCAACCTAAGAGAAGTGAAGTGAAGCATCGTCCCTGGCCAAAAGGTTAAAGATTCTCGAAGGAAAAGCGAGGTACGACAGGTAGAAAAGACAGGGGCCTGATGTACTGGGTACTTTGCTAGGAAGATTGCGGGGAGGGTTGAAGCTAAAAAGCTGTTACTAGGTCGCGCCAAGGTTTGTCGGCGCACTGGTGCACTATCTCCCTAGTACTAATAAGACTCTGGGAGACTGGGTGCAAATGGTCTTGTCAAATATTGCTAGAAGAGGTAGTACATAGGTACCTAGCAGGCTAGTAGGCTAGTGGTCATAATTATGTGCCAGTTCATTCATTCATTTGTTATGCTTCGTGTATATCATAAACCCGTACAGATACATGTTCATCAAATAGGGAAATATCAAGAATGCAATTCCCTTGATGCGTTCGTTGCTTGACTCAACTCTGATGAACGCAAAATATCAGAAAAGGAGAAATAGGAGATAAGATGGAAATGGCCAGGCACTTAAAAGCTTAGAAAACAAGATGATCATGAGCCTGTCGAAACTTTGTGAAGATGCGTGAAATGCAGTATCTCACGGACCCATTTTCCATATTCGAGATCGTGGCTCCGAGCTATCAATTGAAATACTGGGGTGGAGAGAAAAGAAAAAGGAAAAGGAAAAGGGAAAAAAACAACAACTGGATCAACCTCCTCGTTAAAAGATGTTGTCCGCAAGCGCTCATTGCGCTGTACCTACCTACTTATTAAACACCAGGAACCCTAGAAAGATCTTGCAGTAAATATATCGTGACAAAATTCAAGGCACTGAGCTTCTGCTCCACTTCTTCCCGTCTCCTTGTTTCTTGTGCAATAAATTGGATTAGACTGTGGACACTGTGATCTGCTGTCAAAATGGTATGTTACCAATCATAGCAGAAGTGAGCCAGCCGATGCAAAGGGGGGTGAATGGGAAACCAAGATTAAAGGTAGTATACAAGTTTCAAGGATATGTACAATGCTTTCCCGCATCATTTGTAGGGACCGTAAGTCTTTTCCATGAACAAGATTAAAGAGTATAATTTGGATTGTCCCTGATAACTAATCGATACCTCGTTGCGTCTTTGCATCTTTGCATTACACTGTAATGTTACTAGTCTCAGTTTCCCCCTTCATCACGTATCAAACCCCACAATTGAGACCCATTTAGCTTGAAAATTTACGTTCTAATAGATGCTAGACGCTTTGTTGAATGACTTGTCCAAATCCTGTGAAGCCCCGGGGCTATTTTTCATCACCCACGGTGAGCCCTTCGAGCCCATAACTTTGGCTTTTTCTTCTTTCCTGGGGTTATTTCTGGACCCTAGACCCGAGTCCCTTGAAATAAAAGTTAACTTCGATGCATCACGATTCACGATTCACGATGCTCGATGCTTACAAGTACGAAGGTTAATCCTCGCGAGCTTCGCAGTCTTGCCAAGCATGTCTAAAGTTAAGCTACATATAAACCTTCGTGATGCTCACCAATGATATGAATGAATGATTGGAGCGCCTGGGTTTTAGATTGCGGGATGGTAAGATTCTGAGACTGTGCAAGCGGAAAGCGGCTTTCAAGTAGAAATCTGAAAGCCTTTATACTGCCCCTAGTCATATCTTCAACGGCTCCCTTCCGAAACATCTTAGATTATCATTCCAATGCGCCAATGCCAGCCATGATGCTGACGAAAACTCGGAAAGATCTATGATATTAATTTTGAAGCTGCGATCTCAAACCGTCGATGCTTCCGAGTAACTTTTTCAAATTGCCGACGACTCATCCAAATCAATATCCATGCTTTCTAGAAACCGAATCGTCAAGACTTCAACTCGAAAATCTTCGGTCCAAAATCTTGACTGTTTGAGATTCTGAATAATACAAATTTTCATTTCAAAATGATGTTTGGAACATTGTAGACGGTGATGTTGCAATAGAGTTATTCCCTGACTACATTATCATTGAAATGTACAGATAGCGATGCACCTAAGACTTAAGTAACTTACTATCAATGATTGCGTAACCAACCGCGGGAAGCTAGCTCGGGCATCGATTTTAATATTGGATTTATGCTTTTGAATAATAAATAAAGACCCTTTGCTTCGGTGAAATGTTACTTGACACCCAATCATTTCAAAGTGTTGATATTTTAGTTGGGACGGAAGGATATATACTATATACAGAGTGTATAGATTATAGATACATGACATGACACCATAAATTGAAATTAAAAATATCCTCGACAGTCTAAAAGGTTAAACAGCTTCCCCGCAAAACGGAAAATACCACTCCACTTCTACCAGCATCACAGGCTTCGGGCACACCATAAACACGTTTTTCTAAACATTGTGTTACTTCTCATAATGGTCTGTGATTCTATAATAAATAATACCCTCCGGGACACACTTGAATTGAGTCAAGGTTGAGTAGCACAGGTACGAAGTTAACTGCCGCGATTTATGTCTCGATTCCCTCGACCCAGCCCTCGCACGCACAGGAGTTTAGGAGGATGCTCAAGTGTCCGCTTCCAACTCATCACTTCCGAGTCACTTCCGAAGATCTCACATGGTATGGGAAAGTATCTACCAATGTCATCCCGGTACACACGACGCTTGAAGTAGTAGCATCTCCGCCATGCAGCGGATATCCATTAAGTACTTTGGCTTGTCGATTGAGAGCTGAGACGAAGAACCTGCATTTGTACACCGGCACGGATATAGCGTTGTTGTCAAACTTTTAATTTTACCATCCATCGAACTTCCGGATAACGTGCATCGAATAACCTCACATTGGCAATTTCTAGGGTCTATCATCTGGAGGGAGTAGACTGGATATGAATCGGTACAATATATCTTTCTGCAAATGACACCTCTCCTGTACTTACTGTCCTTGACCGGCCAGAGAAACTCAATTCTACTTTGTACTACTCAATCATTCATCGACTGCCGTACCTATCTTTCTCATATCGTTTATCTCGTACTCGTATTGAGACAAGGGGTAGGCGACCACATTCTGAAGCTATCGGTAGAAGTATGTTCAGTACGCAGAGGTCGGCAGCATAGCCACAATCGGCTAACATATCTCCTTGTATTATCACCATCGACATCAAATTCGCGCACTATTAGAATATCCAGATCAGGCAGAATCGGAATGAAGGCTATCTCCTAGTCTCACAACTTTTGCGATGGCTCATTCACCAGAGACACGCACACATAATAGCAGAAAAAAAGAGGACGCGCCAAATACAATAATGCTAATGCCGAGTCACACACCTAAGACTTTCAACTCCACACCAACGTAAGGAAAAGCAAGTCCAAGAACCTCTCTCGCACCTTACGCATGAGCACAATAGAGAACTAAATCCTTCTGTTTAGTTTAACATGAAGACGCCATACATATGGTATAAATTCGGCGTCTTGTATGAATGATGCGGACTCATACTCATACAATTGCTTGGTATAAAATCAGACCATGCCACGGTCGGTTCGGTCCGTCACCCTCCGCTTTGGATTTGCAGTCAGTCCACCAAGCCCGATGGGAGAATTAATATATCACAAGTACTTTACCCCTCCTTGAGGTTTCTATGAAAAGAGCGAGATAAGAATTTACGTGGGGTTCTTGGGTACCGATACTTATCTTAGCGTTTGTCAATAATTCATCAGTTGGGAGTAAGGTTATTCATTTGTTCAATTAATGGTCTTGGACGATTCTCTTTTCTTTCAAGCTTTAGCTAGAAGCCAACAGATTTTCCATATTTGTACATTCATATTTGCATACACATACTACTTTGGATAATACCCCATATTACCCCGGATTCATGCACCTCGTGTGGCTCCAAAATCGTACCATAGTCATTATCAACCACGTCTCAAGAATGCAGTTGTTTCTTGATAGACACAGGTCTACATCTGGCTGACAGTTGCGAAAGCAAAGCATGAGACCAAGACTGGCATTTCTTGACCATGTCAAGATTACTTCGTCATGTAGAGATCCGGAACGCTTCGGATTTCAGCATACGTCACCTTCCCGTACATCTTCATCCATAAGATGAGATCCGAACTTTTACCTGCAATAACCTTGAATCGTATTGGTTTGCCAGGGAACTACCTGATCACAGTATGGGTTTTAGTGTTCTTATCTTTAAGATACTTCCTCGATTGGATACGACCCTCAAAGATCTACAGAAGCAAATTTATGAACATACATATGCGCATTCTCTTGACGTAGATAGATGAACAGTCTCGGACCAAGGGGGACAGCTGCGGGGGTGGCAAAAACTGGAAATGAGGACAAGCAGGTTGAAGATTATCCCCGCATTTCTCCAAGCTCTGAAGTACTCCTTGGTTCTTCCTTGGTTACTATAGGGATTGAATACATCTTCGTTGCCTCTACTCGAGTAAAATCTCTTTGCCACTCTTGCTCCTCGCAGAGTCATGCCTCTTTCCAAGACTGGTGCTTTTTCAATTCAAATATAACTGGGTGCATAAATTTGGCTACAATATCTTGGGCAAGCTATGATACCCTAGGTTTATCCAATAGTTTCCTGAGCATTGCGAAATATCAAAAAAATTATGAAATGAACGGAGACAGAACGACAGCAAAGAGCTCTCAATGTACCTGGCGAAAGGAAATGATCTTGTCTTCAACCTGGCCTAACCTTTTAGCCGTCCTGATGCATCAAACACCCAAATTATATCAAAGGGAAACTGTATATTCGCTCTAATCTCTCCTCTTCTTGTCATCAATGTTTTTGATACCATATTTCACCTCGAATGACACAATATTTTGATCTTGTATATACTTGATGATTTCGTCAATTGCCTCGAACAGATTCCTTTCTCCTTTTCCCACAAGGTCATTATCCATTAGACACCAGAGATATCCGGACTTGTTTAATTTCAGTGTAAAAGAAGCTAGAAAACACCCCTACCTATAGCTAACCACTGCCCTTCAAACTCCTCCTGAATAATTACTACAGACTTCGCCGTAAACTCAGTCAATAATGAATGAATATGAGTGATGGAAGAGCGTATCAAGAATCAGTATGTGGTGCTTCACATGAATATCCTTTAGTTCATCAGTTTATAATGGCTAAATTTCAGTAAGAGGGCGGGTGTAGAGATTGATCTGGTAGGGGAGTGAGTTCAAACCTCATACCATCCGTAGGAAATTAATACGGATTTCCAAAATAGTCAGCGAGTCGGAAAAAAAGAATTAAACATACTTTTCACAGAATGTGCCAAAGAACGAAACATACGTTTTGAAGTAAGACTATATGAATAACCAAGATACCGCAAATTAACGCCGCAAGTAAAAACAACACCAGACGTATGTGTACAAAATGTTCGGTCATTAATGAAAATCTCATCGATTCCGAAAACTTGGGAGGACTACAGATCTATTACCGTTTTCACTAGATGCTGATGAGAAGTCACAAGTTCTAGGGAACCTGCAGAGCATTTCATGTTCACTCCGGCACACTAATCATGAAGAAATGGAGGCATTTGATGAATGAAGTATTAGAACAAAGGCTTATATCCTCACTATATGACATTGAGGAGGGATGGATTAGTCGACAGAATATTCAATAATCAGAGATATCACAAAATCTCATGAGAACTTCATTTTGGCGATTCTCGAACCATTCAGAATCTAACTTTTCTCTTTCGGTGGAAAATAAAACGGTAAAAATTTATTTCTACACCGGAACTCGAATATAATAAATGCATGTTTCGGTGATATAAAGGTGAGAGAGCGACGTTGCTGTTGTGTAATCAGAATGATACTGGAGATTCAAGGAAACTTTCTCGAGTACAATAATGATTAAGCACATCCGAACATTGTCCAAAAAGACTTCAGTAATCACAAAGCACAGCGAGAGAAACGAGCAACATATAAGTCATCCAAGTATGTATAATAAAATTTCAACTTCCATGCATTCATTAAATTTGGCAATTCGATAAAAAAACAAAAGACAATGCGAACCTCAATCCGCCGTCTAAACATGATCCTAACTCTTTACACCTTGAAAGGCAAAAAGCCATGGCCTAACCAATTGAACCATTCTCATTCCAGTCTCATCTACAACGTCCTGTTCATTCTTTGAAGTACGGGCACGCTGTATACCGTCCATTAACGCCTGCCTTGTCAAAAATAGAGAGAACACCACATCATGCACTAACATCACCACGAGCGCATTAACCAGCCCAAAATAGTCAGCCATTTCCACTGTCCGTGGAGAAATCAATATAATCCTCTCCCACTCGCCAGCCTCACAAAACTATATGGAACGTTCTGTCCCACCAATAATCTCAAAGTCTCCACCGTTGTGAAGGCAGTCGTATCAGCAACGCCATAAGCCGTCCATCCACATCCTTCGGCAACACCTATTGGATCTCCTTTTCTTGGTCCATTGGCAAGGTCAACAAAGACCTTTCCTTGCCCTCGAGAGTCTCTTCCATTACTGAAATATCTTAGAAGAGGTTGTACTAAATGAGTCTTCTCCGGTGGTAATGCTGAGATTATCACAAATGGAGTGTCGGATTTGGTAACACTCTCCACAGAAGTGAAGGGTTCGACACCAGTCGCCAATGGTCCATGTGCCTTGAATCCAACCGTATAGATCTTTCCAATATTAAGACTCCTCAGTGCAAATATAACCGACGCGGCATCTTCTCCGTTACTCGACAAGATAATAGCAGCTCGATCTTTGTATGCTGAAGGGGGCAAAATCCCCGTGTAAAGCGTTGCACGGGATTCCCTTTCCACGTTGCATTATCCCCGATAAGAGTTGAGGATGGTCCCTTCGCCTCGGACGACAATAGTATCGACAGCGCCAATAGTACGTGCTGCATCCGATAGCATAGGTATGTATGGCTGCGAAGATGAAAGAGGTGGATTGATGTATGCACCACCGAAGTTAGGTTGTAAGCAAAAAGCTTCGACGGAACCTTTGATACCTCGGTCCACAGTTGCGAAATTGTGTGGTAAACCTAGCTCGTTGAAACACTTTTCGAAAAAGGTTGCTTGCGGAATGGAGCGAAAGGTACCGATAGCGTAGATGTTCTTCTTTGGGAGTTGACCCATGGTTGCTAGAGCGCCATTGATTTCCGCGGCACTCAATTGACCAGGTGCAGCGACGATAGGCAGAAGAGGATGTGTGATGGGCGAGAAGACGGTATTGAGAGCTCGAGATAATTGTCCGAGTTGTCCCATGTTGACAGCAGATAACGGAGGACCATCGGGGTTATTGGCCTTTATCTGTGAACGAAAGTATTCCAGTTCGTAATTCTCCGACATTGTATTGATAATCGTAATCATCTTGACTATATCTCCATACTTTCGGCTCTCTTGAAAGATGTTTTGAGCCTGGATTGATGGCCACTTGAATGTTCCGGAGAAATCATGGAATGCTGAAATGATCTTACTGTTTCCTCTTTGCTCAAACAATCTTCTTCTAATATCCTCTGGTAACCAAACCTCGACATCGACATATTCGCATCCCCACTGTATAGCTCGGTAAAGGTACTCGTAATAAAGTTCTGGATTGTCCATGGGAAATCGACCATTCTCTTTTGTACATCTTGTCGTGAAGATTATCGGTAATTCTGTACGCTGTCTCAACAGCATAACTTGCTCACCAACATAACTCAAACTTGGCACAGAATTGAAAGTTCCGTCAGTTAAACCTTCCTTTAGTAAATCAACACGAATTTCTACTGCATCCGATCCAACAGAAAGAATATCCAAATTAGACAATGCCGTCCGAACATCTGGAAATGTGGTCGATATGAAATAAGTCCTTGGCTTCGTAATGAGTGCTTCGTGATGACTTATTTGACCCAAAATGAATGAGATAAATCGTGAAAGATCTCTTCGAAAAAATGGTGTCTCAGTGTAAAGAAATTCATAATCTGTTGAAGCCGATAAATTCAGATCAGGTGGCATCCCCAAAGCCACACAATGCGCATTAATAGCGACAATCAACGAGCGATTCCGGGAATCAATATCAACCTTTGCATCCCCTGCAGCTATTCCTATAACAGTTCCATGATCCTCATTTCTAACCGACGAAAAGTTGGTGGCCATTCGATATGGTTTTCCAAGTACATCTGCGAAAACAGGAACGATTTTATCTTGACCTTGGCCAAAAACAATGACAACTATCCTCTCATCCCCCGTACCGGCTTTCGTTCCTTTGATGACTCCATTTGTGCTCCTCGGCCGTGTAGGCGTCGGAGCTGATTGTTGTTGTTTGGTTGCCATAGGTTCGCCGGTATTCGTGATAGATGGAGAAATATTTAGAAAGTTCTTGATGTCCTTGGGGAGAATCTCGGACCAGAGCTTTGTTTTTCCAATAATTTTACCGGATGTTAAAGTTATGGGCGATGAGATTGTACCTAGATGTACAGACTCAAAGAAAGTGATTTTATCCGTACGATACTAATTATGATGTACTATCGATGGGCAACGCGAATGGTAGCTAGTTTCGAATACTAAGTTTGGGATCGACAGGTAAAAGTTGAAAGTGTGATAAATATCTTGCTTGTGATATTAATGTGTACCTTGTCAGGTAGATATGTAGAGTCCAGTTGTCTCAAGGTCAGTATAAAATTGATCTTACGCTCAATTTCTCTATACTACATGGCAGCTCGTGATCTTTAAATAATGGTGCGAGAGTGATAGAGATAATGATCGACATCAGCGGTGGAGAGAGAAGATTAAAACTCTATGGCACTTTTGAGACGAGATTGTAATGCTGCAGGTAAAATTTTTTGTCGAAACCTCTATGCACTGCACTGATTCGTAATATGATAATGGAAAAGGTGATATGATTGCGAGTGATCTTTTGTAGTGTCGACGGCGGGAGAGTCGAGATTTCGCCAAAGAATTTCGATTAAAGTTTGGAGGGGTTAGAAAGAGGGCTGAGTGAAGTGGTGGACCATTGAGAGATGTTCATACACACAACGCAGAATGGCGGGAGGACTTATAACTTTGGTGGGATAGGATTTGGGAGGCGGGTGTTTTTGTTTGTTTGCTGTGATGTTAGCAACCTTCTCTAGCCATCTGTTTAACTTTGGGCCGGTCTTCCCCCCTTATGTTTGTTGTATTTGTTTTTTTCTTAGCCCAGCGACTTAACACTCGAGCAGACCAATCCCAATGCCACAACCTAGGTCAATGTGGAAAAGGGGTTTGCGTTGGATCGAATAGCAACTATTATGGAAAAATAGGAAAGATAAGAAATGTGCTCTCGGTGAAGATTGTTCCATCGACGAAGCAGCTCTGTTTGCAAAAACCCTTGCGCCTCTGCATATAAGTTTGGAGGCGATATGTTTAGATGTGATGTTGAACTGGGGGGAAGTCCTTAGGGGATTGCGAAAAGATGGGGAATTTGGAGAAGTGGAGGTGAGAATGGTCGGTAATCAGGGGGTCATAATCTTCCGCCAATGATAATCGAGAGAAAAGAGAAATAGATGGATATCAAGGTTTATATTTATAGTATGACAAGATTCAAGACATTATTCCCCGATTATTCTCCAATCTACTGTATATTGTTCTCATAAGGATACATTGATCAAAGGTATCATTTTTGGGGGGGTGCATTGGTTGGACCACCTGTTAGGTATGTATTAGATATGTACCTTCCAAGTTTGTACAGGTATAGAGTAATACGATGCTATGTACAGAGTGTACGGAGTATACGGAGTATATCCATCGTCTCATGTTCTGTTTGTTGGGCTGGTGCTTCTACTTCTTCATCTTATCTAGATAGGTAGGTAGGTGGGTAGGTAGCAGGTAAAGATCTAGGAACACATCTCAACTCAGCACTCAGCACTTCACCCAGTCCCGTCGGTCCTTGGAGGGAAGGAAAACAAAAAGAGAAACCGTTGGACTGGCTTCTATGGCTCTAGAATGAATTTTGAACATGCAGACACTGGAATAGTTGGAATTTATTGGATTCCACGTTCCACGTCCCACGTTTCGGTGGTACGTTACACCTACCCTATGTTAATTTGAACTTGCTGTGAACGGAGGATTTATCCATATCATTCTGCCTGAATACGTAGCTAGTAAATTTTCATACAAGTATCAAATTAGTTTCTTCATGATTCCCTGGAATCATAACAAATTCCTCATAATGAATCAATTTGTTTGGTGGATATTGGTCCCGAAGTCTCAAATAATGGAATGCGTGCTGTCGGTGATAAATTTAGGTGGTTGGTGCACCCTGAACGGCCTTTCCGATCGATGACATGAAGTTTTGGAAGTTTGGATGGAAGCAAGGATGGAAGGAAGCAAGTCAGTCGACTTTATTCAACTCACCATCAGCGGTGTAGCCAATGAAACGGAGAAATACATTTCGAATTTTGGTCTCTTCGGCTTTTCATCAATCCAAGCATCAAGGGCTAGGTACTTCTCCTTAGGTACCCTGCGGGCGAGGGCTAGGTACTTATCCTTATCCTTTTGGCGCGGACTTTATATCTCACATCTTTCACTCTCTTTTCAATCCTTCTTTCAATCGCGAGATTATGCTACTTGAACAGTGGAAACACCATTTGCTGCCTTCGTACAGTACTCCCTTCTTTGATTCACACTTTATACTGTTTTGTAGTACCGAAAAGCATGGGGATGAAAAGTTTCTCCTAAGAGCTTCCTCATCTGGATGAAAGTGCATGGGGGAGCTGTGAAGGAAAGTCGTGTGCTCTTTAGATTGTGTGAGAGGTATGCCGCATGTATGGTGTGGTATGGTAAAGTATGTTATGGTATTCCGGGGCGCCGAAAATAATCATGATGAGAAGAACTGGCGAGTGAGTAAAAGCTAACATCTCACAAGTGTGAGTGACTCCATTAAGTATCGATAAAGATTAGAATTCCTGCCAAATTTTGTTATTGTTCATATTGCGACATTGTCCAAGAGCGCTCTCGCATCACAGATGTGGGATTCTAGTCAATCCCAGATAGACATCCCCAAATTCACAACTTTTTGACCCTCTTTCCTCCTAGATATATATGGTGTTCCAAAGTATAACAAAGTTTGGGAGGTAGAATCGATGATTGTAGATAAAAGATGGAAGATGGAAGATTGGAGACTGAAGATTGAAGATTGAATGGAGATCGGTAATCGGTGATCGATGATTCGAAATGAAATTGTCGATGGTATGTACCTTGGCTTATCTAAAAGTAAATCACTCAATCTTCAATGCCGGTAAGGGGTAGCGGTATATATACATGTATTACTCCGTATACCCCGTATATATACACACATATATGTTCGTGTGTATGTGTCTGTCTGTTCCTAGATGAAAAGTTTCCTCGGTCGCTCCTCCACAATCCGAAGACACGTGACATCACACACCATCCCCCACCTTAATCAAAAAACCCCCACGATATACGGACACGGAGTAACCTACTACTTGACCTACTGCTAGATCTTACCGCCTATCACTCATTACCTTTATCACCGTACAATGCAATGGGTCATGAAAACATGTCGTTTTCATTTTGTTTTCTGTACTGCGGAAGCTAGAATTGAAGTCGGGATGATTCGTGTATAGCCGACCCGGCCGCTCCGTATCCCATTCTGATTTCCACTCGAAGGTTTTCTTTGGTTGTAAGTCCGAAGGTCCTAATAAGGATTGTGTATTGTAACTTTGTAAGTGCCTGCTTCGCCTTCGGGGCTAGTACTTGATTCGTACGATATTCAGGTCACATTCTCAGTTGTAATACAAATGATTGTTGATGCTGATGCTGATGCTGATGTTGATAAGATTTTAATCATCGTATTGTCCTTCATCCCCTTCATTCAAGTGAATTCCGAAGAAACCGAGGATTTCCAATGTTCGTCTCACGCCTTGCAATTGTACATCAATCAGCATGATGATTTTTTTCAAGGCGGCACTCCGTATTACCGGTACGTACCCATCCAAACTCAAACGCCACACCCGCAATGCAGAAACGCCTCCCAGAAATTCGTGGGTACCCACTAACTTCTAACTTCTCACTTCTAACTTCCCACCACTTCCCACCACCTCCCGCACCTCCCCAAATGCCCCAAGTCCCCCAAGTCCCCCAACCACCACACATGTTTCTGCACTCCAATTTCTCCAGCCATGGAGTCCCCGATGCCCCGTATCGCGAAATGAAACTATTTGCATTAATCGCTCTGGAATGGGTCAGACGGCCATGCTAATTACTCGACATGGACACGTCGACAGAAACTTTTCACTCATCAGGTCGTCGAGTCCCCAGAAATTAAAGTAATATCACCGAAGCCACCGAGAGTAGGACCGTTTAGATCTCCATATCGTGTAAACTCACAATCGACACTGTATACTCGGGTGCAGTGGATGTCGGTTTTGGTTGGAGCTTTCACCTTCATGACTGATGATTGGCCGTTCCCCTGAATTATGTGGGTCTTTCAGGGTCTTTCCCATGTCCGCGAGGGACCCACCTTGATGGAAGATGTCCGGGCCGTAGTAAGGTTAGTGAAGAAGGAAAAAAAAAAAGAAATAGGCTTAGGAAATGACCAACGTCATACCCATATCATAGCATTGACATGGCCAATGCCCATTTCCCAACAGTGCCAACACAGGTTTTCAGGTTTTATTATCGTCGTTCTTATTATTATTTGGAGAACTGGCTGGGAACTCTACTATGGATACCATACAACCTGGAGAATTGGCTGGGAATTCCATTATCCATATCATCAACCTTGAACAACTAACTACTCACTGGTGGATCTCCCTCAGCATTCTATGGATCTTTGGGGACTCCAGAAACTCCACATGGAGTCTTGTCTAATCCTAAATTCATTTGGGCTCTCCAACTTTGATGTGTTTTTCATCTCTTCAGAATCCTTGCCCACGCTGCTCTATCCTTGGCCGTGGAATTCCTTGAAAGTTGAAACCCGTTAGACCTCGGGCTATCTATCATAGACGACCATAAGGGCATAGACTGTAAGGAGAAAAGTGAAAAATCATTGAAAAATCTCTCTCCCTATCGAAGGTTCATGAAGATTCAGCGAATCATCATCCATCAAATTGTCTTAATCGGGTCAGGGTCAGATCTTTCTTTTCACATCTACCTAGTCATTTTCATCACTTGACACGATCTAACGAGGCCAAGCAGCGAGCTGGTACCCCTTCAGATCTAGCCTTCTAGTCAGGGCAGACGTCACATCAAAATATATAATTCATTCTTCGCCTCCTCGTTCAATTCCATTTCCATTTCCATTTCCATTTTCATCCCATCTATTTTTCTTGTCCTCTTTTCTTTACATCCTTTGCTTGAGAACCATACACTCTAGCAAAGTTGACCGCATCCCTCATCGTCTACCATCTATCATCATGGTTTCCTCAAATAGCTCGATGGAAGCTACAGGTGGTGCTGCACAAGGGCAGAATGCCTTCTACTCCAACCCGGAAAAGAATACTCGAGTAAACGGGAATCTCAATGTTCCTTCCATCACACTACGTACCATCTTCATGACCATATTGGTTGCCATGGGTGGCTTCATCTTTGGTTATGACACTGGACAAATTTCTGGATTTTTGGAAATGCATGTCTTCCTGCAGAGATTTGGTGAAAGAAGTAGTAATCTAGTGGCACATCCTGCTGGGTATTATTTCACGAATGTGCGGTCTGGGTTGATTGTCGGCTTGGTATGTTCTTTCTTCATCCTCAAATTCGAGGTCATACAAAAATTCATTTACTAACTAATTCTACAGTTATCGATCGGTACATTGATAGGATGTTTGGTTGCTGGACCTCTTGCCAATAGATTCGGACGCAGAACATGCATTCCACCTTTCTGTATAATCTTTTGTATTGGTGTTGTTATACAAATGGCTGTTGGCAAAGGTGAGTGGGTGGGAATTGTCATGGGAAGATGGGTTGCTGGTTTGGGAGTTGGTGGACTGTCTGTCCTTGTACCAATGTACATGGCTGAAACCTCTCCTGTTCCAGTGAGAGGAGCTGTTATTTCGTGAGTATCCTTCTCCATTATCATTCACATTTCAAAATCAGCATCGTTGCAAACGAGGTCGATCATTAGGGATGCCCCAGCTAACCCACTGCATCACAGATGTTACCAACTCTTCATCACGATCGGTATCTTCACCGCCGACTGCATCAACTACGGAACCGAATCCTTCAAAAGTACAGCTTCCTACCGAATTCCTATGGGCGTTGGCTTCATCTGGGCAATTATCCTTGGTGGCGGTATCCTCTTCCTTCCAGAAACTCCTCGATACAATTGGAACCATGGAAAGCCCGAAAAAGCTCAAGAAACCATGGCCGCTTTCTACGGTGTCGAAGAATCCCATCCAATGATCCGAACCGAGGTCGCTGAAATTGAGAAAGTTCGTGCAGCAACTGTTGGTGACCATCCATGGTACGAAGCCGTTACCGGCCCAAGAATGCTCTACAGAGTTTCTCTCGCAATGGCATTGCAAATGTTACAACAACTTACTGGTGCCAATTACTTCTTCTACTACGGTACAACCATATTCGCTGGCGTCGGTATCAAAAACTCCTATGTCACTGCTATGATTCTTGGTGGTGTAAACGTTGGAGCCACTTTCTTTGGTGTTTACATGGCCCGTCACTTCCGTCGTCGCGAATGCTTGTACATCGCTGCTTTGTGGCAAACCATGTGTTTCCTCATTTTTGCATCTGTCGGACAATTCATTTTTAAGGATGCCGCAGAGGGAAGTCACACTGCTAAAACTTCTGGAACCGTTATGATTGTCTTTGCTTGTCTTTTCATCGTCGGTTTTGCCAGCACATGGGGACCCCTTGTCTGGGCATGCATTGGAGAGATGTTCCCATACAGATACCGAGCCGTCGCGATGGCTTTTGCTACATCGGCTAATTGGTTCTGGAATTTCATGCTTGCATTTTTCACCCCCTTCATCACGCAAGATATCAATTACGCATATGGATATGTCTTTGCAGGTTGCAACCTCGCGGCTTTCTTCGTCGTCTTCTTTTTCCTTGTTGAATCGAGCGGAAAGACTTTGGAGGAAGTGGATGCTATGTACCTGATGGGTGTCAAGCCTATTGGAAGTCACGCCTTCCAATTTGATAGCGAGCTGAGGGAGTCTTTGGGTACTGACATCAATACCGATGCCATGAATTTGGAGACCAGAAATGGTAGAGTCCAGAAAGTTAATGAAGCCGGCCAGGGTGGTGTTTTCCACGATGAGGGCGGAAACGTGAAGGAGTAGGGTTGATATCTGGATGTGAGATTTCGAGGAAATTAGCCTGTCAATGGCTTACAGGGGCTAAGTTCGGTTGAGACGCCTGGAAAAAGCCGGCGGGTCACTGCGCAGCAGGGCCCAGATGAGATGACATTTTCGTTTTGTCTATTATGTTGATGTCTAATGATTGTCTTGTTTTGCAATGCATAGCGTGGGCTGGGTTGGAATGCTTTTGCAATGTATATATGTATACTACGAATATCTATTTAATTGATTGATGAATAAAGTATTGAATGTTTCAACATCTATTTAATATGTCAAATCCTTGTTTCCATGATTTCGTAGACTTGAATTGAAGAGAAAAAGAAGCTGGTCGTATAATAAGTTATTTGAGGAGCTTAATACTCTTTCATGAAGCGCATCTATTTCTCAGGACCAATGCAGACGGAACAGCCCCTCCATCGAATCGTTCGGTCAATCGCGACATATACGCAATCGCCCAAGTCGTCATTACATTTGGATAACATTTATGCCCAAGAATTCTTACACAAAACCCACCATTTGTCCAAAAATCATGATAGACTCTGGTAAATCTCACCAGAGAAATTGTAAATGTATCCTCACCCATTCCAGGTTTTTGCTCCAGATTTTCTGGTTCTGACATCGAAAATAGCTTACGGGATTCTACGAAGTAGCAATTTAAACGAGCAAGAATTATGCTTTGAGAATCAAGGTATGTAATTATAGGAAGGATAGACGATTAGTACGGAGTTTTGCTCTTTGTTCCACCATTCCCTAATAACTTATGGGAAGCACCAAGAATCTCAAAGATTGGATTTAAAGGGTGGAAGAGAGAAGCCTGTACGTATACAATGTGAGTGTATTCTACATGTGGTTTGGAACGAAAGAAGTAGTGTGAATGCGAAAATCTGGGAGACCTATCCTACCATAATTTTCCCCTGTCGCTCTCTTTAGAGACCTAGCCCGCTTCTAAAGAGCCCTTTACAAGCGTGGTTATACGCTGGTGTATAGCTACGCGGAACCTTCTGGCAGCTCTCAGCAACCGCCAGCATACTTCCGGAGATAGGATACGCAAAAACGCTGCGAAATAAGTTCAGTTTACCAAGACTACGCGCTTAATACAAGCTTCCAAACTCCCTTGAACCTTCTAATTGCTCTTTATGTGACCCTCACACCCATTTCTTTAGAATAAATGACTATTTCCTAACAGCAACCGAACTTTGCTCATATGTAGAAATGTCGACATGTCATGACTTCATGAGACAACGCTTCTGTACGTTTCGCAAAAAAGCGAGAAAATGATACCAATTTTAGATTTCTTTCGTCGCGACGATAAGATCATTACATTAGAATTTTGAACGATGATCGTGTTGAAGTTGAATAATTGCCTGAGAGATTTACTTTGAAAGGGAGTTCCTTGAAAAATTGTCCAAAACATCCCGCTTTGATAAGATCTTACATACTACCAAGAATTTATCCGTTGATCGTAATTTCTATTAGAGCCTAAGAATTATCATCTTCTTGATCTGGTATCACCCTGGATGTCAAAATCATTTGAAAATATTCGAATTGCTTAAATTGCTGTTGATGAATAAATGAAGGAGGGAGGATGGTGAAATGAAGCATCAAGATACTCTGTACTCTTATAGACCGGCACCGAGACGTGCTAACCGGCACCGAAGCGGGCTCCAATATATCTTAGCATTTCGAGCCCGAGAGAGGAAATACAAATTCGGAGATTTATTTCCATCTTTTAGGAATAGCCACATTTATAGAATAGCTCCGTGGCGGAGATGGACAAATTTGTTAATTATTCCTTTGCTTCTCTCCTCCCCTCTAGCAAATTACATGCATGCCATATCGGACTTGAGGAACTGTACAAAATCAAACATTTTCGTCGACGGATACGTATTATGCGCTCGTAATCAGTAAGAAATCTTGTCATTCGCCCCTCTAATGGTAGCATTATAGCATTCGACACGTAACAGCCAACGGACCAAGCATCGCCGAGCCACTCTCTTGCAGCTGAAGTCATTCGCATGTACGAGTACCTCCGTACGGAGTACGAGCTTGTCTTCACAAAATTCCTTGTCTCAAGCTTTTTAACTCCACCAATCCATTCTCGCATCTCGAACAGATCCGTCACTAGCCACACGAAACCCAGACATAGATGCATACTTGTGGCATCAATCTTGCTCTTGGATGTTTGCCGTGCTTCCGAAATCCCCACACCACACCAGCCGAAGCGATGTGGGACAGAAGGCTCAAAGGCAAACAGACAAACAATTAGATTAGAATAGATTACAGAGTAGAACAAGCGTGGAAGCATGAGGATGAAGTTTAATTTAATTCCACCTACCGAAATCTCTTGGACTCAGTTATCGAGGGACTGACTTACCCTAATCTAATACTAATAGCGAGGACGGTAATTACTGCCATGGAAAATTATCGAGGAAAGGAACCGATACTTGTACCGTGAAAAGCGTCTTGAAAGCTTCAAATGTCCTTTTGCTATCCCTACGCGATTGGATATAGGAGAGGACAATAGATATCACTTAAATACACCCTAACCCTAAGTGTATATTGCCATCGGAAACTCCTATCCAATTATCCCTAGCCACCACACCCCTTGTGATAATTATCCCATCTTTTACGTCATGAGGACCTTATTACCAGCCCAATCAATCCCAAAAACTGCCAAAAATTGCCAAAATCGAGTAAGTCTGGTAAATCTTCACAGGAAACAGGGCTTAGGCTGCCTAGAGAACCTAGCAAGTCCCTTACCCTAACCTTACCCTGTTTAAAGCTTCAATATCCAAATGTCTTTGAGGCCCGTCCCCTGTCAATTATTTCACCATCATTTTTATTGCATTTCTGAATTACTGTAAGATAAAAACAGCACACAAGAGACTGTCATAATTACACATTATGACAAGCACTACAACCGACTGGCCTTATTTTAAGTGAATGAATTTGTATTCGTACAAATTAATCCGTTTCTAGTTGACTGTTTGGCATTCTTCTGTGAACAATCAAACAATTGGACAACTAATCCGTGAGCACAGTGCCGGGTTTCCAGAGTACGGGGTAGAAGAAACAGGTTACTTGACCCACTGCATATTAGGTGTCTGCATACTGCAAGCCTGTACCAAACAGGAAGGCACAGAGTCAGCAACTTGTTGAGAGTCACGAAAGCGTTTTATTTATTACCCTTCTCCACTGTCTCGGCCATTCCCTTTTGACTCCACCATCCTACTATATCTTCATTCTGCTTCTTCTCATAGGGGGGAAAGAAGCCGGAAAAATATGACAGGTTCATTCTGGCACAGCGTCCTACCATTTCGAAGACCATCATCATCAGCTTCCTCAACCTCAACGACATCTGAATTCATAGATTCGTCCTCACGCAGCAGTCTCAACTTAAGTCTTCAATCTAGCCACAAAGTATCCCGAAAGCGACGAGAGTTATTTGGTGATTTTGACTATTCTGTCGATAACGGGAGTATGAACGCGAATATGCAAGAACCTACGGGGATGGAGAGAAATTACTCCGGTAGAGATACTGGATTCCCAGAGCCTCTAAGTCATGGTACGTATCGTTGTTCCCTTTCCTTCTCATTCGCGCACTGCTCAAGATGGGTGTCGAGATTCACGGGAAGCTGACACAGAATAGAACGTAATACAACACTTCGACATCCTGAAGCAGATACTTCCCCATTCGCAACTCTCGAATCCACCGAACTTGATATTCATCGTTCCCACTCGCGACTTTCCCTTAGGAGACTCCATAGTAAACATAAAGGGTCGCTTCTGAGCATACCCTTACACGAGGAGGTGGAGTACACAGATGAGACAGAAAAGGATGCGAAACAAACCGATTCAGACAAAACAGCAGAGGAATATTCAGAAATGGAGGGCAAAGATGATCAGGGATATAGATCTGGAGAACGAAAGAAGGGGATGCTTCAAAAGCTGAGTCTACATAGAGGTTAGATGACAAAGTTGAACAGCAAAGGTACAGGCAATTAGGAGTTTGGAAGAAACAATCTTGATGAACACAGGACACAACACAAAAACGCGTGGGATTTTGATCAAGCAAGCGAGGAGTTCAATGGGTTTGGAGTTCGGAGGTCCGAAAGGTTGATAATACTATCCCTTTGTAATTATTGCTTTCTCTCGATAGAACCATGAAATAACTTCATTCATGGGAATAAACTGAAGTAGAATATCCCAAACTAACTTCCGCGATAAGTTGTATAACTATATGGACCCAAAAGTAGAGGAACGTGGAAATGTTCTCCTTCCTTGACCACGAAGTTGAGTTCAACGCAGGGAAAGAAAGTGTTTTCATAACCATAATATGCGCCAGTCTCGAATCGTAACTTCCACATGCTGGATCCCTTTGGCAGATTCTGAAATTCTGCTTTTCCTCCTTCAACGATCAGTTCGCCGACTTTCTTAGACCCGGCATCATTATTCCAGTTAGCAATTCGACCGTCGGTATTCGTAATGGCTCGAAAGATGGTCGATTCCTCGAAAAGGGAGACCAAAGTGACATTGATTCCGGCAGCTGGTCGACCAGTAGTTGTGTCGAGGGCGTGGCATGTAATTAGATCTCTATCTGCCATGTTGGGTAAATGTGCAAAGTAGAAAGATAGCTGAGGGGTTTGTGAGGATATAGCTTGCAGACGTTTGTCTGGATATTTAGAGGTGGGGGTCGTTGCGGGGTATCGACTGGAAGGGTGGGAGATGAGCGAGGATGGCAGGAGGGAAAGACCTATCCTTCTACCAAGCTTGAGCTAGTTTGGGAGAATAAACTGTGGAAAATGCAAAGAAGTTAAAAACAATTAGAAGATTTTCATATTGATATGTTTTGTTGAAAAAGAAATACTCGAGTAGCTACCTACCTAGTAACCAAAACTAGCTCGCAAATCGGAGATGGCCGCTTCAGCCTTGTGACAAGGTTATCTATGGGGCATACGCCAGCCGTCACGTGGTGATTTCTACTGGTGGCAGAGGCTAGCCATCAGCCTCGAGGTTAATTGTAAGACTACCCAGGTAGATACAATCACCTTGGGTGCAACAATATTCCTTTGCGAGGAGGAATGTATTGCAGTATTGATATGAATGATAAGGCTGGTAGAACAGTAGTACTAGACATCTTGCCGAGGCTGGCCAATCAAATCATTAGCGCACTGTGAGTTTGACAACTTGCAAGACGGCAAAGAATACGTCAGAAGGCAAAAGATGCCACTAGATAAATTCTAGAGCCTACCAGAACTTTAATCCAAGGAGCAAGGAGCTGGCAGCTGGCTCGAGGGTAACAACCTCTCAGTAATTCGGACTCGACTTTGATCATTCACAATTTCCATCATTTTTACTTTGTATTCTGCCTTTCAATTTCAATCTTCTTGCCTCATAATCAAACATATACTGCACATCTTTCCCCGCTCATCCCCCCACTACCATCAAGATGTCCACCGCCGTAATAAACACAGACGACGATCAACTCGAGCCTACCCTTCAATCTATTCTCGATCAAAAATCTCTCCGCTGGATCTTTGTTGGTGGAAAAGGAGGAGTTGGGAAAACCACCACATCATGCTCCCTGGCCATTCAACTCGCTAAAGTTCGTCGTTCAGTCCTACTCATCTCGACAGATCCAGCACATAATTTGAGTGATGCTTTTTCACAAAAGTTTGGCAAGGAAGCTAGGCTTATCAATGGATTTGAAAATTTGAGTGCTATGGAAATCGATCCGAATGGAAGTATTCAAGAACTTATGGGACAGGCGGAGGAGGGTGAGGGACCAGCGGCGGGTATGGGTGGAATGATGCAGGATTTGGCTTTTGCTGTCCGTCCTCCTTGCTCTTATGATATATAATTGGGAAGGCTTATTTACTAATGTCTTTGATAGATTCCTGGTATCGATGAAGCCATGTCCTTCGCAGAAGTTCTCAAACAAGTTAAATCTCTCTCTTACGAGACCATCATTTTCGATACCGCTCCTACAGGCCACACCCTCCGCTTCCTTCAATTCCCTACCGTTCTCGAGAAAGCTCTCGCAAAAGTCTCGCAATTATCCACACAATTCGGACCTATGTTGAATGGACTACTTGGAGCCAATGGGTCTCTACCAAATGGACAAAACCTCGGTGAGATGATGGAGAAATTAGAAGGCCTCCGTGAAACCATTTCCGAAGTAAATGGTCAATTCAAAGATGAAAATCTCACTACCTTTGTTTGTGTCTGCATACCCGAATTTCTCTCTCTCTACGAAACAGAGCGTATGATACAAGAATTATCATCTTATCATATCGATACTCATTGTATAGTGGTCAACCAATTACTTTTCCCCAAGAAAGGAAGTGATTGTGATCAATGTAATGCGAGAAGGAAGATGCAGAAGAAATATTTGGAACAAATTGAGGAGTTATACGACGAGTTTAATGTGGTGAAGATGCCCTTGCTAGTCGAGGAGGTAAGAGGGAAGGAGAGATTGGAGAAATTTAGTGAGATGCTTATTACACCATATGTTCCGCCTGCTGGAGGATTGTAGATTTCTAGAGAAAGATATACAAAGAATTGATATTTGATACCCATGTTCCATGCAATTTCATGTCACCTCGCCAGGCACTCGCAAGCAATTTTTACCAATATCCCCATGGCATTCATGAAGCTCGACCTGCTAAATTCATCCAATAGTAAGCCTCCCGTTGATTAATCACTGGCTAGAAGTCTTGACTACCAATCTCCTGCAGAAATGTGACGCGCTCTAGAGGCCTGTTTATCTGTCGCCAAGTGCTTCACCTAGATATCCACCACATCATGGCATCGTTTTTATTCGTGGCCTGCTTTTCCGTCCTTAGATGTTTTCCCGGCCATTTAGGCTCATGTCTAGAAGACCCTAATAGACTAGAATTTTGAGCTAGCTTTTCCTTTAAATGCTGCCACCAGCCAGATTGCCCCCTCAAATAGTCCTCGCAGTTTTGCATCTTTCGCCAACGCCTAGCTATCATTTCTTTTCCTGCCGTCCCTTATAAAATCTGCTTTCCAGACAGGTCCAGCGACGACGATTAAATCATGTTTTGCTGTTGTCAGTTCCTCCATCCGAACAGTCACTGCACCCATGGATCATACCTAACACCCCAAAAGATCTACCGGCTTCATCTCAAAAACCTTCCTAAGTCTCTTGCACCCTTTATAGCACAATATTCCATTTGCCCACAATTCGCCCCCAAATGTCTCATTCAAATCCTTCATTACCTGCTCCATTGCTTTCACATTAGCCCCATGTTTTAACTTCTTTATCCACTCATTCTGGTCCCAATAAGCCCATTCATCCCAAGCCGTATTCACACTAACCACCCTCTTTACTTCGTTTCCTAAATATGCATCGTTCCCCGGCGTTTCTGTCTTGCGGAAAAGTTCCATCCATTCAGAATACAACCCCCATGTCTTATCTGCATCTTCATTCTGACCAGCAAGTAATTCCTCACTTTTCCACCGCAAATGCATAGCTTCTGAAATCCGTTGCATCCATTTTACATCCATTTTCATTTCCTCAGTCCTCATCGGATTAATCTGAACACGCTTTAAACTCCCCCATGTTTTCCCCTCGGTCCTTTCATCACGAATACTCCATTTCCCCCAATCCTCGAAAACAACATTTCGGCCCA